CTGGGTTTCTTTTTTTTTCCTTAACAGTTGAAGACTAGAATGATTTAAATTCTCAGCCCAGACGGCGTGCCAAAACTTGTGTTTTGTCCCAAAGCCCAAAATAGTGGAAGATAATCACCTGTCAGGGAAACCACACGCCTGTTCTGTTCACATGGAAGAAGTTCAGAGTTTATAACTGGGCAGCTAGTTCAGAGCATTCCAAGGTGACAAACTGCCATTGAGATTGCCTCAGGACAGTGAAACCCCAGCATCCTGAAATTATACTCAAGATCAGAAATTCTGTGTGGAAACACATCCAACCGCTCCAAGTACCAACTGATACAGAACACATGACGAAACACGTCAAAAGAAAGAATGAGCTTGAAGGAGAATCAGGTACAAGAACAGAAGTGGTAGGACACCCAAAACTGGAGTTAACAGAGGGGTGTCATTAAGATAACTACGCTTCAGTGGGAAGTGTAATGCGGTGAATAACCTAGGATAAACTATCAACTGTAATGTCAGAAATACCGCTGAAGCAGACTCTGATGGATGGATGAAACAATTTAAAGTAGATAACAAGAACAGAATAAATTCAGTGAGGTTAAAGTCAGTGAAATATAATTTCTGTAACATTTGGAGTAAATCAGAGACTTTTATACAAGCCCCGCTGTCAGTACTAATTAGTTTTTATCCGAAGCATCTCAATACGTTAAATTGAAAGTGTCTGTCCCCAATGTGGTATTTCCCCCCTAGATTCACAGTTGTCCTTTAAAAAGAAAAAGTTTAAATAACCTCTAGATAATACTTGAAATAACAAGTGTATTTTGCTATTTTAAAAAAATATATATCTAGTTGGATTTCAGTAAAAGATGATTTCAATAGGCGTTAGCCACTTAGTTTATCACAATAAAAGAAAAATGTATCATACACTTGAGAGATTAGCAACAGAAAACCAAAATGAATATGAAAGTTCAAGTGCTAATTCCTTTGAACAACTTAAAATACACACAGTCATGCATAAATTTATAAAGAAGCCATTGTTAATCAAGTTAATGGAACTTTCAGAAGGCATTCTATAATTAGAGTGCTTTAATCTGCATTTCTATTGTAGTTCTCAGTGTCCAATAGAATCAGCATCTTTTAATTAATCTGTTCTTGCATTCAGAAGATGCTTTTGAATATAACTTATAAGTGCTCATGTTTAGCACCAACAAAATTGTTTCACATATTGAAAAGAGAGAGAGAGAGAGAGAGAGAACATTGGTTATCTGAGAAAGCAGTGGAAACTGTCTTCTATCAAACTTCCAGTGTTGAGAAGTTTAAAATCAAGGGTTGCATAGTATTCAGTGGTAAGACAAGCTCTCCATCTAGTGGTGACTCTGTAAATTACATTCATTCCTGTTAGAACAATACATTCTACAAGAGAGGCCCTGGATCTACACTTCTCTTCTTACTGTAGGAATTTCATTTAGAAATGTTCTTTGCTTCCACACTAGTTCAACTATTCCTATCAAATATTGACACAACCTTCTCCCACAGTCTAATTTTATCTATATGAAGTACTACAACCCCACGTTAATTGTTTCCATGCTGAAGGAGTAAAAGTTATTTCATTCCTGTTAACGATAATCTTAAAAAGATTTCAGTGATTTTTTTAAGTTCTTCCCCTTAAATCCTCCATTCCTAACCAATATAGTGCCAAATTTTTATCTGTAAAGAGAAAACACAACAATTCTTTGTTGTGAAATGCATCTTATTTTATTAGTTATTTCTACCATCCTTCTGTGAACTTCCATTGCTCAACAGGAGTGTGTGGGGTAGCACCCTAAAGTCCTCTGTACCCCACAACCCCCTTCCCTGCTCCCGTTCTGTTTCTAAACCACACAATCAATCGTTGCCTTCCACACCGTGGGCAAGCCCCTGTGGCATAGGATGATGTGCGGTGCTCCAGCTCACCCCTTCTTCTGAGTCCTCCTCCTGCCATTTCACACATCACGAAACTGAGACCTGAACCAGAACAAGTGTTTGTTACTCTTCACACACACACACACTCGCTCATTCACTCTGCCTTGTTCAGGTTGCTTCGCTGTCAAGAATCCTCTCCTTCTTAACTGTGAAATCTCACTTAAAGACTCTTCCCTTCATACAGTCACACACTGTTTGATATGCCTACTTCCTATCACATTCACGTTAATGATGTAGCGATAAATAAGACAGCCCTTGCCCTTCATGGCACTTACATTCTCTAGTAAGAGAAAGATAATAAACAGAGTATTATTCTGGAAGTAACATATATAGAAATCAAAACATCTTCTGTGAAGTGTATGCGTCCAGTTTCCTGGAAATGTGTACGTGCGCTGGGTCCTGCAGTGTTCTATTACTACCGGAATATTTATTCCATGTCTTTTGCTCCAAAGCAAATATTCAGGGCTCATCTCCCACTATGCTGCCACACTGGCTCTAAAATCTATACTTACTTAACTTTTTGTAGAAATAATAGGAATGCAATCAATTTTATGCTAAATAGATGAATGAATGGATGGATAGCCTGATGAATGTACAACAAATCATTCTTACATAGATCAAAACTTTTCATAAAAAGTCATACTAAAGCCAATGTTACTTGTAGAATTTCTGACATACTAGGAACCCCAACCTTCAGGATTGCTTTGTGAGTCACACAGAAGGGGTAGTCAGGAAGAATCACTCTTCCAGACTTCTATAGTCATAAAATATTTCCTCCTAGGAGCAATAACGTCCCCACATACAAAGAAAAAAATGAAATTTATCATACTTAAATTGAAATGCGTATATGCGCACCCACACAATGTTAGCTAACATTGTGATAACTCTAACATTTTGCTTAATGTCAATAAAGTTTTAGCCTGCATCAATAATACAGAGCCAAATACAGTAAACTCATCAAGCACCTCGTTATATCTTTCTCACGACATTGTAAGTGTGATGTTAATTTCAGGTTCTCCATCTTAAGAGAAACACTAGGAAAAGTCATTTTAAAACTGATACATGAATTTAATAAATTACAAGATACAAAATCAACACACAAAAATCTCTAGTGGGCCTGGCATTTTGTACAGCAGATTAAACCTCTGCCTGGAGTGTCAGCTTCCCCAGATTACAGTATTGGTTCCTGTCCTGGCTGCTGGCTTCCAGACCAACCCCCCAATAATAAAGCTCAAAAAGCAACAGAAAATAACCCAGCTACGCGAGCTCCTGCACTGACAGTGGCTGCCAGGAAGGCATTCCTACCACCTCTTTCTGCCTGGGCAGCCACACCTCTTTGGAAGTAACCAGCAAAGAGAGGATTTCTTACTCGGTGTCTCTGTTTCTCTGTAACTGCTCTTCAAGTAAAGAAATGAATAAACTTAGAAAAAAAAATCACTAACAGAAAATTATTTAAAAGCATTGCCATCACAGCAGCTCCAAAAAGTTTAAATACAATGTAGTAAATCTGAGGAAGTGAAAAACCTCTACAATGAAAATTGTAAAGTGCTGGTGAAAAAAAGGAAGACATAAAAGCTTAAAAGGCTTCCCATTGTTAATTAGTATTATTCCGATGTGCATAATATCCAGGTTAACTTATGTGGCAAAGGCAACCTTCATCAAATACCAATGACATCCTTCAGAATACTCATTCTTAAAATTCATAGGGAGGTACAAAAGACCCTAAATAGGAGAAGCAGTCTTGAATGAAAGGGACAAAGCTGGAGGCATTATGTGTCTCATTTCAAGACGTACTGTAGAACCACAGGAAATAGCATGGCCCTGGCATTTAAAACAGGACTAACAGGGCAGACCAGGAACTACAGAAGGGAGTCAGGCGTCTGATTCTCGCCCAAGTCGCCAGCTCCACTGGATAAATGACAGTACTGAACACAGTATACGTGGGCAGATGGCTAGACCAAGTGTACACCACACACCACTTTACCCCGCTAATCAAGCATGTCACAGATCTGAGAAAAAAAATGGAGGTGGTGCTTCAAGACACTTTTATAGACAGAAAACAGTAGTACTAGCATATAAGCACTGGGTATACAGTCAAATGACGTGAAACCCCTGCGCTGCCTTGTTCATTACAGCATTATTCACAGCGGTTAAGGAATCAACGTAGGTGCCTGAAGATGGATGAACGAATGAAGAAAACATGACATATACGTACAACGGAAGCTGATTGAGTTATAAACCAAAGAAATTGGGTCAAGCCTGTGGCGTAGCCAGTAAAAAGAAATCCTGACATTTGCAGCAAAATGAATGACACTGGAGACTGTTGTTTTAAATGAACTAGACACAGATAAATACCCAATGTTCCCTCTCCTGTTAAGCAGTTTAATAAAGTGTCAATATGAACTTAGCAGAGAGAGGTTGGATATTAGGTACCAAGTCACAGGTGGATAGAAACAGCCAGTTCATAGTGATAGCGAATAAAGAGCTGGTAGAGAGAAGCTGGTGGGCTGTGAACAAAGGATCGGAGGATGGGGCTGCTCATTGGTCTAATTAGTATATGCAACACACATGTGTTGAAATAGTACCTAATACCCCATAAAATGCACAGGTATTACCTGGCAATGATTTAAAAAGAAGAGCAAGTAGCCTTTTTATAGGGGCTCAAGGGGTAATGGTAAGACCTAATTGTGCTGAAATTCAGATCAGATTACTCCAGAGCCTTCCAATAGTTGGACAGATTTATAAATGAAATAAGGCGCCTTGGCAAGCAGTTGAGCGTTGAGCACTCCATTTCTGAAAATGCCAGCAAGAACCAGAGAGACCTGTCAAGGAGAACGCGAGCAGAAGTTTTATACACCATTTTTTTTTTCAATGTTTTCAAGATTCCATGAGCCTATAAGAAAAGAATGTGACTTCAGTTTTTTTTTTTTGTAGTATCCACTACTACTAAGTCCGTTATTCTCATTTGTATTGCTGACGCAGGAATTTAAAAGAGAATGTGTTGCTTTTATTTAATTTTACTAAAATAATGATGATACTTTTCACTCATGCAGCACTTTCCATCCAAGGATTTCAAAGTGCTTTACAAACATGCACTAACTAAGCCTGCCAAGCAGCCGGAGGTAGGTGTTTTGCTTCCCTTCCTGCAGGCATGTCAGCCGTGGCAGGCAGTGGCTGAGGGCTGGCGCGTGTCCTTGGAACGTGTGCATGTGGCGTATCCCTGCCCTATCGGATTGCGTGTCTGCGTCATCATCCCCCGTGTAGAGTCCCCATGAATGCTGCTAAGGTGTACTCGGAGCCTCATAGAGATGAGATAACATTCATTCTGCTTACTACATACTTAGATCTTTAGACAGATTCACTTAAAGACAGTCCCTGGACTTGGTTTTCTATTTGTTGTTGAATTTTATGTATGATTTTTCAATTCCGGAGCACTCATCATTTTCCTTCCTAGGTCTTTCCAGAAGCATTATTCTTTGGAGCGTAAACTTCCTAGTAAATTGGTTTGCTGGCCTCATCCTTCCCAGTTGTTTCACAATAATCCTTCTCTCTGTACTAGGATTATGGATTTTCAGAAAAACATTCTGCATTTTTTGGTCACTGAAAGTTCCAAAATATGCGACTAAACGTTGAGAAGAAAAGTTGGTTGACCCTTAGAAACTGGTTCCGTGAAAGAAAAAAGAAGTGTGGTGCGTGCCGATGCAGAGGGACGTATCATTTCTGTGTGGGTTAGGAGTCTATTTACATAGAAAGGCACTCACGTGGAGGGCTGAACCAGATGTCCATTATGGACAGCCAACTGGCAACCTCTTACCTGAAGCCAAGTGGCCACAAAGAGCACCCACGCCCAGCATGGCTTCTCTCGATTCAGAGTCCAGAAGCCGTTCAGATGCTTGTGGTGCTTCTAGATCTACCTTCCAGAAACAGGAAAGCACGCCTTTTGCTGCTGTGCTGTTCTTTAATGTTCATGCTTCCGATAGCCTCCCGGAAGAAGGTTATGGAATGAATATATCTGCTTCTGTGTAAAGAAAAACTTAGGCTTAGGCTCTCCTGGTTTGGAATCAGACTTCATGTGATGAAGGCTACTTCCTTATCCTGTGACTCAAAGCAGAGTTAACTATCCATATTTTGTGGAGAACCTGTCTCCAGGGTCTAGATAGATATCAGAAAGCCCAGTTTTATGAAAGAACCAAGTAGGAGAAATTGAAGAAGCCCCTGCTATTTAAGAGCAAATTTAATTTAAAATATATCATTAAATAGTTATAGCTAATTTTTTGTAATACAAAGGGACCTGGGGCTTATATCAGAATGCTCTCCAACTTGGTCCTGATGTTTTTGTTATTCCTGTCTTAAACAGCAAGTTTATCTGTAATACATGGCGGATAATTTCACAAAAGCTCTTACAAAGAGCTCAGTTTCAAATTTCCTCCCTTAAAAAGGTAAATGTTTTCAAATGACATATATGTGTGTGTGTGTATGAATGTATATACATGCATTTGTATATATATATATATATATATACATATACACACACACAAACATATATGAAAGTTCAAAAATTAAATGATGTCCTCCTGTACGGCTTGATATAGATGTGTCTGGTTGACCTGTTGACCGTCTAAGCACAGCATCACCACCTACCCTAAAGACTGTAATGGTTCAAGACCCAAAACTTGCAGGTTCCCGAATTCAGACTGAGTGTTCAAGACTTGCTCTTACTTTGGTTGACTTAGAGGTGCAGATTGTCACCTAGACTGTGACTGACTTGAAACGAGAGAAAAATGGGACATCTGTTTATTTGCAATGAAAGGTATAATTATTTGGCAGATGGGGTAATGTCTAAGTTTATTCTTCACTCTGTTGGCAAACCACATGGTAGGATAGTTCGTGATAGAAACCAAGAGAAGAGTTGCAATTTGAACACGAAATGACTTCAGACTCAGATCCTGCTAACTCACCTTCACTCAGAACAGACTCTCCAACAAGCTCACGTATCCCTCATCTGTCACAGGTCCACACAGCACCCAGACAGGCACTGCTTGGGTTGCTGCTCCCAACACTGCAGCTGAGAAGCTTCTTGTTTGGGGTGTCATGGGTGGCAAACTCTTCTATGGATCACCTTTAGCTACAGTCACGCTGATACTGCTAAAAGGGCCTCTGTGTCTTGTTCTGTCTAACGGTGCCTCTGCATTGCCTCACTGACCCATTTGGTGCCTGCCATCTTGTTTCCAAACCCTTGAGAGAAATCGCATCTGGATAAGCAAGCGCAACATCCGCTTGAGTTTAACGCAAGTCTAACTGCTGTTTAGACATAGAGTGGGTGCTAAAGTGGTGCATAAGTGGTGGCTGATGGCAATTAATAGGTAGAAATGTGCAGGAAAAACAAATTTCAATCCACTTGCTGTATACTCAGCCCTTCCGTGAGCGAGCATTGTTCCAGATACACAAATATTTGTTAGCCTTAGTGCTTCAGGAGAAAGGTTCCCGGCATCCAAGTCTTCCTCTGATTTCTAAGGACACAAGTGTATATTGAGTCAATTAGAGTTCATTGGCTCACTGCTTACCAAAACATCTTTTAAACTACCTCTAGAAACAAGACTTCTCACCACCACAAATTTATTCACTTAACAGGGAGCTAAAGTAGGAAGGAAAGGCTTTCATTTCACCACTTAAAAAAAGAAAAAGCAGTCAAAATTTACAGCCAGCTTTCAAAACAGTATGGCCACAGGTTTTGCTCTAGAAGGATTGGTCCATGATGACTCGGCACGAATGCTAACCTGCAGTTTCAGATAATCTGATCCCCTGTTAAAGCCAGCTGAGCAGAACGCATTATATGTACTATGATTCTTCACTCTGCTTGTTCTGTCTTAGTATACACCTATGCGTACAGGTGCACAAACTGCGCCAAATCTTAACATTTTCATAGCCTTGTTTCTAATTATCTCAACTTCACCGTGAGTATGAGAGGAAGTTATAGCCTATGTGAGTTTTAAAAATACGTATATATATATAGGGTTTTTTCTAGTAAAAAAAAAAAGTATCTTTCACCCATGTAGCATGAGCTCAGTCTCAGATCCTTTGAGTATGCATTTTTTCAGAGCTTCCGTGTCTGCATTGTAAGCAGTTTGCTTTGATTGGAAATCGAGCTGTCTAGCATCCGCTGCATGAACCATGCATGAGCATGTCACAGCTGTCACACCTGCCTGGCAAGACAAATGATCATTTTCCTGAATCCTGGATAATGTCTTGATCCTTAAAAAAAAAAAAAAAAAAATACCTGAACAAATGGATTTGCTCCTATTTGAATTGTTAGCAGATGAAAGAATAGTTTTGTAATTCTAATAAATTGTGTGTATGCCTCAGGCTATCCTTCCAGCTGTAGTTTTTCTTTCGTCTTCAGCTATTCCCTTAGGATAAATTTAACCAAAATATGTGATTGACTTGCTCAGTTGAAAAAAAAGCTTAATGTTTGGCATTTTAATTCAGGAACCAGAAGGTATTGGAAAAATCAAATCTGGCTGATTTAAAAATATTTTAGAATTCCTCATCTTGTTCTTTCGTAGGTCCCTGATATAATCTGGCCCTGAGAGAGGGCTCATTATTAAAGTGAAATTGCCTGTCCTTCCTAATACTGGATTACTCCTGCATCTTCATAAAAAAAAATCATTTTTAATATAAATAGCAAAATTCACTTTGCTAAAGCTTCCGTGTGGTCATCTGCTAGCGCTGTATTGCTGGTCATTTCTAGCATTTCAAAATCTTTTCATCTTCTGGCCTAAGAGCCCTATGTGAATACCTAATTATGCAAAACCTTTTCTGATCTGGTTCTTCTTTGTTTGCAACACTGTCCAACCCTAGAAGCTTCTCGCATTTTTAACATGCACTTACAAGTAGATTTTTTTTTTGTTGCGTACATTTACATTATTAAAGAAGAAAAGAATCAGTGTCCACATGAATCCCTGTGGCTGCTAGGGAAGAGATTCTTAAAGGCGTGCAAACCCAGGCCTCCTACCTGGCCTGCATTGTGACCTGACTTGTCTTGCTTTGTTCTCTTTTCAGCCTGGGAATGGATGGCTTCGGCCAACCCGTCGGCATCCCTGGACGTCCCGCCACAGCCTATGGCTTCCGGCCCGATGAGCCCTATTACTACGGCTTTGGATCTCGATAGAGTCAACACCCCTTCCCAACTGTACTCAGAGGAAACCTGTGTGCTTCGCATTAACTTTGAAACTTGGCCTAATAATGCATGTCGATACTCTTGTGGGTGTGTGCTTCTTTTTTATGTCTCCACATTGTTAGCCACAGAAGAAACCCCCTACCCCTTTTGCCTTCTGGTAAGCACGGTTGATGCTGACACCTTTCACTGAGCAGGTCACATTCTGGATGCTGCGTAACTGCTTCCTGTGAGACTCAAAAGTGAATGCAGACAAGCTGCTAGACTGGAAAACACTGCATTATGTACATTGTCTAATTTAATTTCTATTAAAAAGAAGCATAAAGTATTGAGTGAAGTCATATGTTTAATGTGTCTCATTAGCAGCTATATGGATTTCTGTTTTCCTGCTTATAATAGGCTGAGTATTGAGTACGAGTGTCGCCTTTAGAATTTACAAAAGGAACATCATATTTTTATTTCATGCCGCATCTCTGAACAAAATCCCTCCCGAGTTATTGACTTTGCTTTCATGGAACATGTACTATAGTGCTGTTAAATGTGTACGGTCTCATTAGCTCTCATGTCTCATTGCAATATCAAAAACCTGGAACAATTAGTATAAATGAAGCATGGATGCACTTCATACTTTGATTCTTTTTGTAGTACTTCAGTTACAAAAAGCTAACTAAAAGTTACATTTAGCTAAACTAACAAATAGACTCTTTCACTCGTCCAGGTACCTGCTTTCCATTTGCTCACTTCACTTTTGCTTTGGGATTTTTTTTTAATTCCATTTGCTTTACTTCAGGAGAGAGAGAGAGCTTCCATCCTCTTAGCTTATTACCCAAATACCCACAAGGCTAGAGATGAGCTCAAGCCAGAAGGGAACCAGAAACTCAGTCCAGGTCTCCCACATAGGTAACAGGAACCCAGTCACTTGAGCCATACCTGGGTCAACATTAACTACCCAGGGTCCACATTGACAGGAAGCTAGAATTAGGACCTAGGATCAGCTACTAAAACTAAGGATTCTAGTCTGGCCTACACATGTCTTTGGTTTCTCAACCACTAGGCCTAAAGTCCACATTTGGTTTTGTGCTTCAAGTTTGAGTAGTAAGAAATAGATGATTAATAATAGGTTTTGAAAATAATCCATATTACTAATATGATATTGAACTTATTTACTTGAAAAAACCAAATGAGCAAATAAACTAAGTATAATCCAGAGAGAGTCTTGATCACTTGCCATGCAAGGGAATACACAGATCAAAGACAACCTTCTCTCCCTGAATCCTCAACTTCACTTGATTCAACTACAGTATTTGATTTAATTTATATTTGAAAACAGAGTAGTAAAATTGAACCTTTGCAATAGACCTTAGATAGATGTACCTACTTAGCTAAGATATCTATCACATTAAAAAGTAAATAGAATAAACAGTTTGGGGTGTTTATTTACTTATTGGGAAGCAGACAGGCATGTCTCCCCTCCACTGAATGACTCCCCAGATGCCAGTGGCAGCACAGACTGAGTCAGACAGAGGTGGGGAGCTGAGAGCTCGATGCAGCTCTGCCATGCAGGGAGAGAGCCGGTACAGGAGCCATCATTGGCTGTCTCCCGGGGTACTCAGCAAGGAGCAGAACCTGGACTCATGCTCAAACCCTCTCATAAGGGGTGGGGGCTCCCAGCTGGCAGCTTACCCAGTAGCCAGATGCCCAACCTCACACTTACTGCCTTCATTGCCTGCTTTGTCTAATGATTTATCTTATGCTTCTCAGGGAATATAAATCTAAGATACGGTTTGACCTTTGCACCCAAAACCTAATTCATCCTCCTGAAAACATCTATTTGTTTACATTCCTGTTGGAACAACAAAATGTTAGAGTTGAGCAGCTTTAAAAAAAAAAAAATGGTTGTTAAAGAGACAGAGGAAGAGAAAGGGAAAGAAAGGTCTTCCATCCAGTGGTTCACTCTGCAAATGGCCTGAGCTGGGCTGACCCAAGCCAGGAGCCATGAGGTCTCCCATGTGGGTGCAAGACCCAAGCACTTTAGCCATCCCCCACTGCTTTCCCAGGCCAGTAGCAGAGAGCTGGGTCCAAAGCGGAATAGCTAGTAGTGAACTGGCGCATCCAGGTGGCAGTTTTAGCTAATACATTACAGCAACAGCCCACAATTCCCATTTTTAAACAACTGTGAGCCAGAGAGGTTGAACGACTTGCCCATACTGCTGTATGTTGCTGGTGGCGCATCCTGTACCTTTGCCTCCAGTTCAGCAATCTCACTACTGAATACCTTGCTTTGTTATTTGTCACATGTAAAAAGTACAAATGCATGTAAGTGACATTAATGGAGCAGTAGGCTATAGCTTCAACTTCCCTCCCGTGTTATGAACTGCTTACAGAACATGCCCCCAAATGTACAGTATTTCCAGGCTCTGAATCACGGAAGTTGGTGAGCACAAACATCATGTGTAATATTTTAAATTATTTTCAAACTCCACAGTCTTAGAAATTCTTATCTTTCCATTCCTGCATAAACTCATTTACCATTGCATTATTCATGAATGCAATTTTGATAGATGTTAATAAGGGAGAATGAAGCTCTTAATGTGACAGAACATTGGGCTGGAAGGCATAAGACACTTTCAATAGATTAAATCAAATATCTGGCCTCACCTAGACTCACCAAACCGGCCTAGACTCCACCACCATCTTGTGCTCTGGAGGACCAGGGTAGATGTGCGATGGACTAGGCAAGGTCTCAAGCCCTACTGAACCATGTGTGAGCCATATGTGGGTATGGACGAGACTTGGCTGGGCTGAAACATCCAACAGCAAGAACCAGAATTGGGTGGAAGGCTAGTTAGGAAAAGCCACTCTTCCAGCTAGAACAGGAGGTGAACTGAGTAGGACTGGCTCATGGACCCACTGGTATGCACAAAATCTGGCACTGGGAGAGGTTCTGATGGAGGAGCCTGGGCAACTCCTCTGGCAGGACACAGATCCAGCAGGTAAGCACAAGAAGTATGATAGGAAACAGCCCAGAACAGGCTATGGAAATTATCCCACTGGCATACATTTGATATGCGTTGGGGGCAGACCAGGCTGAACCTGTTCACATCACCTGCTGGCGAATCCAAGCACCAGAACAGAGTGTGGATCGGGACAGGTTTGGTTGCGACATATACCCGTACACATTAAGGAATGCCAAGGTGAGATGAGCCATACCAGATGTGGTTGCAGTGCCCAAACAGCATATGTGAAAACCAGAGGGAGGAGGCAAAGCCGACAGGGGAATGTAAGCTCCCCTGCTGGACAACTACTTCCATTGGAAAGTGTGAGTAGGGTTGGAGGCAGATCACACTAGGCAGGGCTATAACACCAATGGGCCTCATGTGAACTAGATCAGGGAAAAGCCAGGCTGGGCTGATTGACCTTACTGGTGCAAGTATAAATTAAAGTGAGTGAGGGATGGTTGGGCTTAGTTGCAGCATCAGCTAGCAGAGGCTGGCACTGGGAGCTAATTCTGTCAAGTCAAATGCCAGAACCATCTGGAGAGTGCATAATCTGGGAGTGGGAGTGGACTAGTAGGGAGATAGTGGGCACCTCCCTCGGGGTTACCACTCCCCCTGGACAGCATGAAAACCAGGTCAGGGGCAGGGCTGGCTAGACAGAAAGGCACTTGCCAGTATGTGTATGGGCTGGATAGTAGGTTGGTTGGGTTGAACTAGGCTTCAATGTCCATTGACATGTACAAGAGCTATATGGGATATGAGACAGACTGGACAAGCCTGCAGTACATACTGGCAAGCATGGGAACCAGGGTAGGGGGCAGAACTGGTGGGGGTTATAGGGAGTCACCCCTACTAGGCTGCAGCTCCCACTGGTTTGCGTGAGGACTGAGTATGAAGTGGGTAGGATCGAGCTGGACTACAACACCCATTGGTTCACAAGGAAGACAGGGCTGGAAGCAGAACTGACCCAGCAATAGCAACGACCAGATGTGCATAAGCTGATTGGGGTGACAGACGGTGTTGGACCTTGCACTATTAAACTCATGCAAGAATCAGGCCTGGGATCATCTCAGATGAAATTTTGTGGAGATCCCTCCAACTGAACTGCTGATCTCAGAACCCCAACCATGAAGAGACTGTCAGCCAGTGGATTCTGATTAGGTTTTATCATGATTGGAACGGCAAGATTGGCAGCAAACCAGAACTGTTGAACTATCAAAACTGCTTGAGCAGGACCCTCAGAGTGTGCCTCATATTGGGGATCTGGGATAGTTGGAAGGCTGGGTGGGCTTTTCCCTTTGTTTCTTCCCTGACCCCAGATACAGGGGGGAAATGATAATATTAGTGTGGAAACAATGGTATTGCCCACTTTCACCCTGTAGCTCTTGACCCTTTGTACCCTAATCAACTAAGTAAGATTATTAAAAATAAATTTAAAAAAAAAACACTTCGAATAGATGAAGTAAATATCTGGCCTCACCTGATTAAATTCACATTTGATTATCAACCAAATGTCACAGTTTGTTTGTTTGTTTTTCAGATGATGTTTACCTAGTTGATTAAGGTGGGAAGGATCTACAGTTAGAGGAAAGTGGGTGTGACCATTGTTTCCAAGCTTTCTATTTCTTCTTCCCATTTCTGGGGGGAGGGGAGAGATAGGGCTAGGCCATACCCAACCTCCCAGTTCCTGAGGATGGGGGAAAGGCCACCCAATATCAGCCCAGGGTCATAATGGCACATGTCTCGAAGGTTCTGCCCAGGTGGATGCAATAGTTTCAAAATGCTGTCGATCTCACTAATCTGAGGATGAGGAATCCCTTCCAATGTCCATTAGCTGACACCATCGACCTTATAGTTTCCAATCGCCCAGATATTTGCTGTCATTGTTTGGCTGAGGTAGTTGTCCAAATGTTCTGTTCTCCATTCTCTGCTATGGTACCAGATGTCCTCTGCAGGCCCTAGTGAACTACCGTGTCCTCCATGTGCACCATGGTCTGCTGTCCAGCACTCCATCTTTTACACTGTGGAGAACCAGTTCTCCTAGGTGGCTCATGGACCTGAGTCAGGTGACCTGGGCTATGTTGGATCCCCCACAGACACAGACCCCTCAAAGCAGGCAGGCCTAATCACATGAGCCAGGAGACACAGGTCCCGCCAGACCCTCCACCCCTGTGGTTCAAGTACCTGGCACCCACTATCTCCATTCTGACATGGCTCATCTTCCTCAGCATCCACTACTGGGTACAACAGCCTAGTTGGATTCAACCTGCCCCCAGGTCCAGCTTGTGCTGGTTGGTTCTGCAACCTAGCCTTTCCCAGGCATCCCCCAGTC